ATCGTCTGACATCTTCTTGCTTATTCACAGTTTAGTCTATGGCATTAGCGTGAGTCAATGTGCGCTGGCTGGACCTCAATCTAACATCTCTGTTCCTCAGATTCTTATAGCAGACCTTTTCCTTGTCTGGAGACTATATAGCATATGGCCAAGCAACAAGATCGCTTTTGTTGTCCTTGGAATCCTCATTTTTCTGTTGACATGTCAGTTACCTCGTCTTAAGTTCTTTGTTCACACTAAAAGGTTCACACATTAGGTTGCGGTTTCACCATCGGTTTCTTCGAAATCGCCCAGATCATCGCAGGAGATGCTCGATTCGTACCAAGGATCACCACTCTCACGACGGTCGTCTTCCTAATGGTCCTTACAACTAATATAGGCGTCACTGGTTTGATAGCTGGTCGACTTTGGTGAGTAGTGTGTGCCAGTGACAAAGTACCATTACCTCAAGTGAGTCTTCGCGACAGGTGGATGAACAAGAAGGTAGCCATTCTTGGGCCCCAGGCCAACATGCTATATTACCGAATCATGCACATATTCCTGTCCAGTGGTGCCCTTTATGCCGGCGTCATCCTGATTCAAGTGATCATCTATGCGGCAGGAATTGTGAGCCATCTGCCATCTACACCCCAACTCCTTGTAACACGTACCTTCGTAGAAAGGGCTTATCTACTTCTTCCTCCGCTGCAACCCATCAATCGTCGCTCTCTTCCCGACTTTAATGATTCTTGTAAGTCAGCAGTCCGCGCCTCACAGGTATGGCGCTCACAGGCATGACCATCCCGTAGCAACTGAATCTTAGCCCCAACGATGGCGCTACGAGGTCTACAGGACCACCACCGCCTACGCCAGTTCCACCAAGGTTCCAGATATCGACCGACGTCAGCACAACGACGCAGCGCCAAACCCGGGAGTCACCTGTAAGTCGGCGATCCGTGCATTCTCTCCCAAGTTCTGGGGGAGAGGGGTGGACTAGCTCAGATGATCGTAGCATCCAGCTGGAAACTATGTCGACGCGATCAATGCTGTCTCCCCTTGTTACAGTTGATCAACGGTAGCCCTCTGTCCGTCCCGCGTCCCTCTTGTAATACATCCTATTTATCTATTTCATACGTCGAACTCGACTAGAGTGATTTCTTCCGTGCTGTGGTGGTTGCGAGAAGACCAACAAGTGCGTCGACGAACTTGGGGGCCAGGACGTGGCGTTGTGGTAGAATGTTCGAGTTCGGAGGTTCCATCTCAACCTTTACCTGTAGGCATCCGACCACCTCTTCTTGACCCAATTGGAATATCGCGCATTTGGGCTCTGCCTAAACTGTGCTGCCGAGTCGGCTTCTGTACGAATTTGGTGATCTATAGCCTAGTGAGGCACCAACGGTCTAAACCGAAACCACCCAGGAGACCATGTCTGCAAAACGCAAGAACGCCGATTCCCTCAGTCCACCTAACACTCCATCTGCAACACGAGCTTACAAGCGTCGGAAGAATGATCGTGATGCGTCTGTCGTTCCCATTAACCTAAAAGGGATGAAGAGTGGAACCGGCGTCGCGGACGACGCGCACGGAAAGGACCATGATGACGACGCTGAAGAGGACGAAGGAGCCCTATTAGAGGAAGACGATTATACTACACAGCTGAACTGGCAGAGTCAGTCCAAAGCGAATTTGAAGTCAGTGACCAATACCTTGCTGTTCGGAATCGGGTGACGCTAACCAAGGTGTCGTTCATGAAGGATTTTGATGGAGAACTTCACCCAAGATCAGCATGACCGATACGAACAATATCGTCGCTCGGCCATTAACAAAAACACAGTTCGAAAGGTACTCGTGAACGACGTTGGTCTATTGGGCATCACGGAGGCTAACCATTAATATGTACCGAATAGTTCATTAACCATACCTTTGGAACAAACCCCAGTATGAACGTAGCCCAAGTAATATCTGGCTTTTCAAAGGTATTTGTTGGCGAAATGGTCGAGAAAGGTGCATATTTAAGACCGGCTTTCCGTTGCTTCTTGAAGCTAACCTCTGGATATTTGTAGCTCGACAAGTACAAGCTGCACGAGGGGCAACAGGGCCGCTTGCACCGGAAGATCTACGTGAGGCTTACCGGATCTACGTGGAGGAAAAAGGCAAAATTGGTGCTGCTCTCCCGCATAGGGGGAAACGATTGTTCGTTCGGTAGTCATTGCACTGCGCGTTACGTCCATCGTAGAAACCTTTCCTCCAGTCATCGCCAAGCCACCCACTCTGCAGACAATCCGGCGCCTCCAATGATTTCCACCCCACAACCCTCAATGTCGGTTTGGTGGGGCTGTTGGGCCCTACACGCATTTACTACCTCGATGGCCCTGGTCTAGCGACCATTCTTAGCTTGTGCTCTTATCCATTTGTTGCTGTCAACCAGTCAGAACGACGAACAAAGGCAATGACATACGCCAGTCCTTCGGATCATTAAACACTCGACACGGACTTATTGCATCGACCATTAACCAGGGTGAGGGGGATGCCCCACGACCGATTTTCGAATGTGTACTGCTTTTATCGCATCGCCTGAAACAGGTCCATAATATGTGTAAGTTGTTGAAATTATCTCCGACTGAAACAATGGGTGTGGTGGCGAACCTTTCCTTACTAGTACTCGCCAATGGGTCGTCAGGGTCTCCTCTCGTTCCCTTTCTTCGGTTGCCCCGTCGACGCGACTCGCCGTGCGATGAATGGTGAATATCGAGGTGGAGTTGCAGCCTTCGTCTGAAACGCACTGTCGGAATGCCATACCGCGACGTGCTGCTCTAGACCCTCGCGGAACGTGTACAATCTTGATGGAACGGCACCACTTAACCTGCCCCCTTGACGATATTCCACTTCCCCTTCATCCCATCAAGTCTAACCCCTCAGCTACTGGCGAGTCTGATGTATTCCAAAACGCGCGATACGGACGCGGTCCAAGTTGGCCCACAGTCGCTCATCTTCTCCGGTGTGTCTGTCACCTCACTCGCTCTATCCATCGATCGCTAAATTTCTCACAGATCCGAACGCTGTTCTTGCTGGTCAAGAGTCGAAAGAATTTTGGATAGAAAACACCTTACGGAGTTACGATGTAGCGTACGCAATTTACGGCGAGACCGATCCAGAAGACATGGCTTTTCCCTTTGAACTATCGCCTCACGTAGGGGTGATGGAAAGAGGAAAAAGGCTTACGGTTACAGGTTAGTGGATGACTTCACGTCAAGAGTCTTCAGATCAGCCGTTGATTTGGTCGGTTTGGGCGTTTAGTACGTCCTCGGAAGGCGTCCGAAATCCCACCTGACGTTAACACCGCTTGGTTGGAGATAAGGTGGGCACTGGTCTTTGGAAGGCCGTTTGACACTGCGGGATCTAAAGCGGAGTTAAATAAGAGGATCAAAGACTATGTGCGTGTCTCTATGGCTTCGGGTCTTCACGAGTTTCCTCGTATGTTCAACTTATACACTTTTGGGATGACAGATGGTGAAAAAGGGGTACCCGGAACGACGCATTACGTTGCATTTTCTCCGACCAGTCGCCAAAAACCGTGAGTTATTGGACTGCACATTCGGCCGGCCCCTTTTAGTTGACCCACGTCTCAGGGGATGTGTGGTTGTCCTTGAAACATTGGACCGAGTTCACCCTCAGGAACCCAGACGGCTCGTTTGCTTCTGCCAGGTTCCGCCCGCTTAATTTGTGCCCGGTAGGAAGGGGAGGGTTTGCTGATGTCTACCGCTGTGAGTTAGAAGTTGAAGACGAGCCTTCAAATCGCACGGTAGGTCCTGTCGGTGTACAACGCCCTTGGGTCTACTGAATCGGTGTAATAAGATTGCGGTGAAGCAAATCAGGAACCCCTATTCCAGTGATTCTTCCGAGCAGATAGCTCAAAGAATCCGTGGGGTAAGTCAAGTCACTAAGGCGTCTCTCAACGAATGATTGGGTTGATTCCATGTTGTCCTTCCTTCCCTCACTGCAGCGGGTTATGAAAGAGTTGATGGCATGGGCAAAACTCCGACACGAAAACGTTTTACCAATGCTTGGACATTTGACTGTTCCGGATGTTCTGTTTTTCTCGGAGTGGTCGGATAACGGGCATGTGCTGAGATATGTTAAGGCGACAAAGGCGACAAGGGAAGATCGCCTTCGCCTGGTAGGTCTCTTCGTTCCAACTTCAGGCCCTTCACTCTGTGTTACTCACTCCTCACTATTTGAAGATGAGGGAATGTGCGTCGGGACTCTTGTACCTACACGAGAACAGCGTTATCCACGGCGACCTTAGACACGTGAGTAACAACTGAGATACAGTCAGAGTTCCTGGCGCTAACGTCTCTCAGGACAACATTCTTGTCACCAACGATGGTCGCGCAGCGATCAGCGATTTTGGTCTTAGTAAATTGGTGGAAGGAAACTCCCCACGAAGCGTGACCGTGGATGTGACGACATCCATAGAATGCAAGGGCTCAAAGTTCTATATGGCACCGGAGTTGCTGGTAACGAAAGATCATCCAAAACCCAAGCGGTCCATGGCTGTGGATGTATATGCGTTCGGAATTCTTATCATCGAGGTATGCACCAGCAGCACCCCAAATTTGGACTTTTTGTATATCCCGGCCACTCACCCCCGCAAATCATCTAGATTGGGGGGGCTAAAGAAGCATTCGGGGAACGTGTCCACCGCTGGTACATCCGAATGGAGGAATATGTAGCGGGCGACATGAACCCTTCACCGGAGATCTTCCCTGATCTCCAGAACAGAGGTCCGCTATGGGAGCTCTCTAGAGCATGTATGGTCTTCATGCCAATCGAAAGATTAGACATGGAACACTGTGAGGCGGCGCTTTCCGGACTTGGCGAACGACTCCACGAGGTATTTACGAGTAAGGTACGGGTAGCAGAAACCGAGTAGGTTGATAGAATAGAAGTCATAGGAACGTCCGAGGAAGTTGATCGGTGACTTGGCCGCGAACAATGAATGGCAAAAAGGAATCACCCATAGCCTGACACGGGGGTCGAACCCGTAACCTTCAGATCCACTGAAGCGCAATTTGCTTGAATAAGAGTCTGACGCTCTACCGATTGAGCTAGCCGGGCAGGCGGGAATCTAAAACCAAGGGCCTCTCTAGTCGCTCTACCGTGGGGCGGCCTTCGAGACGAACGCGCTTTCGGGACTCTCCACCTCTGGAAGTCACCGTACTAATTGACATAGATGTTCTACTTAGGCCCAAAGTCGGACATACACAAAAATGCTCATAACAATACTCGAATCCGCCTCCCACAACACCTCTCCTTTCCAGCAACGAAAGTTCTAATAACGCACGTGCTCCCTCCTGGTCCTTCTACCCGATCGCCTCCTGCTACCACCGCATCGACAGCAGATGATGTCGAGAATGAAGTTCCAGATCGATACCAAGATCTGCAAGACGCCATCAGAATATCGACACCATCAGCTGCTTGTCGCTCTAAGTAAAAGGGGTGGACTCGCCATGGTAATACCCCCAACGATAGCGAACAGAACACCCGCGATGGCGGATATCAGGCCGTTTATTGCCCCTCCTATGGCTGAAATGACTGATCCCTGCACACCTTTTGGTCAGACCAGACTCGAATCGGGATAGAAGAGGACATGTAAATACGCACCATTACGGTATTTGTGTTACGATAAGATAAACAAGAGAATAGATTTCGGTTTGGCTTGACTTGGAAGAGTCGTTGTAATGCTTGGAGAGGATTCCTTGTCGGCTGGGCTGGTTTTATACCAACGGCGCGGGACTGGGCGGATGCTGGTTGACGACACACATATCTCTCATGGATAAGGCGTGTCTCCCTTCTGACCTCGCGTTTTCAACGGGGAAAAGGCGTGTTGTCGGGGACCAGTCGACGCGTACCTGGCTCGCCGCCGCACGTGACGTCACGCGACTGGACCTGTCATTCAAGCAAAGAACGCGGGTAGTATTGGATATCCTAAACCACACAGAAAAACCAAAAGAAAGTCCACGAAAGAAGAAACGAAGAGGAGCACGAAACGACGGGGGACTGATTAAAAGACGAATGAAATAACGAAAGTCCGAAGGAGAACCCCTTAGTTGAGAGCGTTTCTGGCAACTGAACTTCCAACGTCGGTATCGACAACAACACCAGCAACAGCTGCGCCAGATAGCTGTGCAGCCAGGAGGGCGGTCCCGATCAAAGTTGGAGACCGGCCATGAAACGTAGACGCGTTGGCGGGAGTGGCATCCCGTTTCGGGAGACGGTCGTAGATGACGACAGTGTAAGAGGAGTTGACAGATGAAAGCGCGAGGTCGACGCAGGAAGAGCCGTCCGAGCCGACAACAAATCCAGGCATGCATTTCTTGACCACGCATTTGCTACGGACGCATGCAACGTCCGCAACATGCGAAATCAAGGTGCAGTCAGCGCCAGGAAGGGCAGAGGGATAGAATGGCACGGTGCAACCACCGCCTACACGCCAACAGATCAGCATAGACGAAACACAAGGAATGATAATGACTCACAGCTTTCAAGGTCATTCCGGGTATCCACACATTCCCAACCTTTACCACCCTTCGAATAGACTCCGCACACCGAGGTACCGCGAGGGCAGACAGCCCTTGACTTCAAGCGATTAGGTGCAGGGGATGGGCAAGCCTTGCCGACCTTGATACACTTGCCATTGCACCCCACGGTACCTGGAGCGCAGGTGCAGATATTGTTGCCCGAGGCATCCGTTGAGGGAACGTAACCAGGCTTGCATTCCCAGTGACAAACGTCATTGCTCTGGCAAGCCGGCTTCGAATTGGTAGGATAGGTACACGTTTTGCGTTTCGAGTTCTTTGACACCTGTATCAATACAAAGCAATGGTCAAGGCGATGTATCGGAGGGGAAGGGGAAATGCTCACATAGTTGTGCAACTTCTGTTGAATCTGCGCCCTGATCTTCCCATCCACGTCCAAGACGGGCAACTTCAAACCACTAGCGATAGATGCAACAGCATCCAAACATATACATGCCTTGATACTAATCCCAGGTAGTTGCAGCACACCCAGTTGTATCCCGATCTCAATGTCGACGTATACGCAGGCATCGGCCGTCACGTCCAATGCCCGTTTGTCGTAGGAGGTAAGAGGGTTCGAGGGATGGGCCGCAGCAACGAAAGGGAGAATAGCAGTGGACAAGGCGAGGAGAGGAAAAAAGCGCATGATAGGTGAGAGAACGAAGCTGAGATATGAATTTAGATAGGGAGTTGGCAATGGCGGGGAGGGAATGGTGTTCCTGTGTCTAGAAACGAACGAATAGAGGTGACACGGAATGGGAGGACGAAGGGTGTGCGGGAAAGAAGAAAGAAGGGTGGGCAAGGAGGGGATCACAGTGGTTGAGGAAACTATTCCCCTTGACCTCGTCTTTTATAACCCTCGATAACTTCTGTTCAAATTGGTGTTCAAACAAGGCACGTCGCTTTCGAACATTCAATGTCGTCTACTGCGTCGACGGTGTTCAACTTGTGTCGGGGGTTGATCTCTACAACGCGTCATGGGCGTCTCCTATTAGCCTAAGGCACAACAATTCGCCGAAACAGTATTGGACTCACTAGTTGGAAGTGACCGATAGTAAGTGAATTGGGAGGTAGTGAATGGTAGGTTTCACCATTCACGGCCATTCAGTTTCGTCGTATGGAGACGTGACGCGGCCATCCGCCGGTTGAATTGGCTGTAGCTTTACCACATAGTTTCACTATCAGAGATCCCGTACAAACGAGCGTTGGGAATACACTTCCTATCAGAATCGTCGCTCGCGGGGTCAATGGAGGACGAAGCAGTTGTCCGGTCACCAATCTATCCCGAAAAATGCCCAGAGCAGACGAATTGATCCTGATGCACAAAAATGGTAGGCAGTATGCTCAACACGGCCCTTCAGCAGTGGGCGCAACCCGGCTGAGATATTGGCGAGAGGTGATACCCCAGGCTTGATTCGCTGCCATCAAGGATTTTTATGGACGGTAGTTGTGTAAGATCGCTTCATTCGGCGTACAACACGGCACAGAACATGAGTTCGCGGGTGCGGAATGCGTGGTCGAGGACAACAGTCGAATCTGAAATTCCCAACACCAGTGCACGACAAACAAGTCCTAACAACAAACGCCACCACTTTTTCGAACGCTGCCCAACTGACAGCTTCAATACCTACAAGACCCAGCACGGATGTTACGAGCATTCCCGTCTTTCAGACTGAGTAGAAGTCTCCCTCGATCCCTAACTAGACGACATCTGGCGACAACCGTTCCAGCTGGTGCTGGAGACTTTGGTTACGACGGTAAGTCTGCAACCGACTCCCGTCAAATCAAAAGCACTCTAACAGGATCTATGCATTTAAAGTATGCGTCATTGGTGGAGGTCACGCAGGCTGCGAGGCAGCGGCCGGAGCGGCGCGAACAGGGGCCCGTACACTGCTCCTCACGCAGAACCTCAACACCATCGGCGAGATGAGCTGTAACCCCTCTTTTGGTGGC